GGGCTTCTGTTTAGGACTATGCTTCCTCCTCACCGTGACCCAGCCGCCCTCTTTCCCCAGCTGCTTGGGATCTGCCGGGGCCTACGCTATCTTCGGCTGCACCAGCTACAGGGGCCTGGCTAGCTACGGGTGAATGAAGGGTGCGAAGCTGAGTCTCCAATTCAGTAATCCTGGCCTCCAGAGCTGCAAATATGCTACATTTGTTACAGATTTCATTACTGCTAAAGGAGGCTGAGGAGTAACCAAACATCTGACACAATGAGCAGGAAAGTGAAGGGGGGACAGGTGAAGTAGCCATGGTGCTAACGAGTCGGCTGCGAGCTAAGCTAAGCTATTGAAACAGTAAAGACACAGTGAGTGAATACTTTGGCTATAAATTAGGGAGTGAGTGCACAGAGAGTGTGCTTCGGATGAAGCATGTGAAGATTATACTATGAAAGAAGAAGGTATCTAAGTTTTTAATTAAATTGCTAAGCAGGTAAGCTACTCAAAGACATCACTGTGTTTGAGCAGTAACAGGAAGTGATACTCTACCGCAGAGAGCGCGAACACCAATTGTTAATATCGGCGCAATATGGTGCAAATGGAAAAGAATGTGTCACTGTTTGTTTACAGGTGCAAGCTCGCTGTCATTACTGTAAACAAAGGTTATTGGGAAGGGAGATTTTAAGCTCAAGTTTCGTCCTGTGACCTGAGCAGGAAGCAGCGTCATTTCTCTGAGTCGTCACATCCTGACTGAGCCCAAGATCATCAGCTGAAGCAGCTTTAAACTCAAACGGTTAACTGTCTCTTCCCAGCTTTTTCAAGTGGTCTCAGTCACTATAGTACCTGTGCAGGTAGGCCAAACCGAGTGCGTTCTAATAGACCAATATGCTTAGGAAGGTATCGAACTGCGACATTTGACAGGAAGTATCTGGTGTTCCAGTTATCCAAATACTAAGGAAAGGAGCTTCAGTACTTCCTTTAGCATAGGGTACATGCTAATATTACTGTGTTATTGTGCCACATGCGTTTATGCATTCATGGCTTCTGTGGGTGGGGCTAACTTGTACTGACTGAGTGTGAGCTCTGAGTGTCAGGACAAGGCCAAAGACTGAGCATCCAAGTGCAGATCATGCTTTCCTTCTGATAATAAACAGTCCGGGTAGCAACTATCACAAACACAACAGCCATGACTTTTTTCTCTTAGATTTTGTTCAATTTGCAGTAAATTGTGTGTCACAGAGTTTTTAATTCACAGTTGGGCGACTGAGTGAAATATTATCCCCCTGAAAGTGAAACTCTTGGAAATACGTTTGCGAGTGTTTACGAGTGTCTTCATGCGGCTGCAGACGTTGAATGTTCCTTCTTCTGTAAAACTCCAGCCTTTGTAATGAAGGATAGTTTTGTTGTGAAGCACAAATTAATGTAATAATAATAATAATAATAATAATGGATTGCATTTATAACTTATGTCTAAAAATGTATCATTTCATACATCTGTTAAAACACTCGACTCCAGATACATGACGCGCAGCTGGAAACACTTCCCGCAAGACGAGCTTCCCGAGATTCACAGAATTTACAGAAAATGTTACATTTATGTGATTTATATCGTTATCGGGATGATAGAATTCTTATATCGGGATATGAGATTTTGGTCATATCGCACAGCCCTAACAGTTACCATTTAAAAAAGGTGGTATTCAAATTACAGTTACTTTGTTTAAATAAAGGGATTACACAGCGGTTTCATATATTAGGCTGTCCCCTCTCTGTTTTTGGTATTTACACGCTGGTGGAAACCCAAGGAAAACACACATTAAGAGGCTCAAATGTCTGTGTCTCAATCTCGCGTCTCATAATGACATGAAGAAATATTTTTAAAAATGTTTAATATGAAGGCAATAGGCAGAGTGTTACATGTAGGGCTGCCACGATTACGTCGACTATCAAAATCGTCGACGACTAATTTAATAGTCGACGCGTCATTTGAAGCTTTGCAAGATCCCAAAAGACGCAGGAATAAGTAGTAGGATTTAAGAGTGTAATAACGGACTGAAACAGAAGATGCCAGCACTGCATGTACAAGGATGCCAGCTGCCGTTAAACCCCGAAGAAGAAGACTGTGTCCCAGAATTCATAGCGCAGCCCAGCTCAGTTGTCAACAATGGCGGCAGCTAGTTAGTTTTAATATTACTCTTATTATTCTTTCTGGGTCACAAAATAAACTTTTAACATATTTTCAGGCGAGAATGTAGCTGTGGAAACCTCAAATATCTGCTCAGTTTATCAAGACACCACATATTTTTAAAAGCGCTCCGACGTTTTATTTGTTTCTGAGTAAATCGGTTTGGCTGAGATTAAAGTTATAGTTTTTACACAGCTGAATAAACGTCAAGCAGACAACTGATCATCAGAAGTGTGAGATGCTCAAGAATTTACTCCGGTGAGTTTATTAAACTCCACCGAAACAATCTGCAAATTTCATTTAAATTTAATAAACTATCATCTTGTCTTTATTTTTAGTTAGCACATACCTGAAACACTGAAAGCTGTAAGCTAATGATAGTTATATAAGAGCAGCTGCTGCTGGTGCAATAAGCTGTACGTTTTACGTTCAATGGATGCATGATCTGATTAGTCAACTATCAAAATAATCGTTTGTGGCAGCCCTAGTTACAGGCATTGCCCTAAAGCATGCAGCCTGATGGGCAGTGTAGTCCGTGCTGCAGGGAGAATGGACTGCCATACCCGTTATGTGTCTGTGAGCGAGGAGGGAAAAAAAGGAAACGTACGAGCTGTCACGGAGCAGAAACGGGAGCTGGAAGCATGTAAATATAATAATAACCACTGCAGCCAAGAAAATGGTAAAATGGTAAATGGCCTGTATTTATATAGCGCCTTACTAGTCCCTAAGGACCCCAAAGCGCTTTACATATCCAGTCATCCACCCATTCACACACACATTCACACACTGGTGATGGCAAGCTACATTGTAACCACAGCCACCCTGGGGCGCACTGACAGAGGCGAGGCTGCCGGACACTGGCGCCACCGGGCCCTCTGACCACCACCAGTAGGCAACAGGTGAAGTGTCTTGCCCAAGGACACAGAAGAGAGCCTGATGAGCCCAGCTGTAAGTAAGCTGTTAAGACTCAACTGTACGCTGTGTTCGTGTTTTCCTCTGAAACAATAAGCTCCGTTGGAGCAGCCTTTCAACGCCTCTCTCTGTCTCTCGCTAGCAAAGTTGACCCAGACAACAAAGTAAAGCTATTTTTCGGCTAGGAGCCCGACACGAACCTGACGTATTAGCCAGAGGTCCCTTTACTACGGTTCGGAGCCGCGGACCTGTTTTATATACGCGCCAAATAGTTTTCTACACGAGATCGCTGCAAAAAGTGTAGCCTTACCTAATGTCCACCTACTGTTACTCATTTATATTAAGATTTTTACATCTAGTTGGTATTGGTATGGCGAGTAACCTTCAGTAATAAATCACCCAGCAATACATTCATGTAGTTGGAAAAAGCATGATAATATATTAAGTAATCCAAAGTATTCAGAATAGTTACTCTCATTGAGTCGCATAACGGAATACGTTACAAAATACATTTTGGGGCATGTAATCTGTAATGGAATACATTTTAAAAGTAACCTTCCCAACACTGATCACCCTGAGTATGTATCTGTACAGTACACAGGTCCGATTCCGGCCGAGCGAGGGGCGGAGCTCACCATGGGCGGAGGTCGCAGCGAGACCTCTGCACTGACCGGGACGGGAGGGGGGCGGGGCACGGCCACTACCCAAAATTCCCAGCGGCCCAACGCCTGCTGCTTCTGCTGGTGCTGCTGCTGCAGCTGTTCATGGTGAGACACACCTGCCTTACCTGGTCAGTGCTGCCCTTAACCTCATCGTGTGTGGCTGTGCTGTTTGTGCGAGTTTGTGTGTGTGCGCGTTTCCTGTCTGAAGGCTGTTTTATCATGTCAGTCTCACTGTCAGGAATGAAGAGGAGAGGCAGAGGTGGAGGAGGAGGAAGAAGATACCGGACACAAAGATGGAAACCATTCCAAACTGTGAAGCTTGGTGAGTCACTGCAGTCGATCGTTCTCTGCTCGACCTCAAAAACATGAAAAACACAACTTTTTCCGCACTGCAGAAAAATGCCACCAGGGGGCAGTATGACCTCAGCTGAGCTCAGCGAGCCGTGAAACATGTTGATGGGAGTAGTACGCAGTTTGGGAATAAGCTGAGCCTGAGTGTGAGTTTTATTTACCTGCAAAGGAAACGTGTTCAAACACAGATGTGGTCTGACTGTGCCTACATCAGTTTATCCTGCATTAACGGCTCTAGGATCTTTACAGACTCTCAGTGTTTAGCCTCACAACTGCAATTAAGTCAGAAATATCCAAATATTCGTACGTTCAATTTTATATCAGCTAACTGCAGACCAGGAACATACACAAATGAACAGATGAAGATGAACAAAGCTTTCCCCGCTTCTTCCTCAGCACCAAACCATCATTAGAAGAGATCCGGCTGTGGTCTCAGTCCTTCGACAAGCTGATGAGGAATCCGGCAGGTCGAAATGTTTTCCGGGAGTTCCTGCGGACAGAGTACAGCGAGGAGAACATGTTGTTTTGGCTCGCCTGCGAGGACCTCAAACAGGAGATGAACAAGAGCGCCATTGAGGAGAAAGCTCGTTCCATCTATGAAGACTACATTTCTATTCTGTCACCAAAAGAGGTATGACTGTTTTTCAGCTGGGGTTATACCAGTGCTCACTGTTTAGAGGACCAGTGTGTGAACTATACAACAGGTGCACAGAGCTGTAAGATGTAAGGTGTGTCTAAGCCAGAGCTGTGATCGCTCTGTTACAAAAACACTGGATACAGGTTCTGACACCAGGATTTACTTCCTGTTTACGCATTCTCATTGCTATCCTCGAAGAAACCAACTCCAGACTTTTTTGGAAAAAAATTCTTCATTTAATCCCAAACGCTACAGAAAGAGTGCGTATTTCTCCCACATTAGCTTCTAAAATCCAGGTGTTTACAGGTGCACCTTACAGCCGTACGTCTTGGATTTTCAGCACTGGCACTCTCAGTGTTCGGGTTTTCTTTCTTTAAGGAGGTAAAGAAAATATTTAATTGATTTCAGCAGTTGAAATGACAAGTTACAGCACGCTGGACAGCACCACCAAAGCTGAGGCCATGCTTCTGGAGACTTCTCTCAAACCTCTGGCTGTGGAGGAGCGTCTGCTCCGTGGGTTCTGAGTCAGCTGATCTGTCGGTCGAGCCACACCAGTGGATGTAAGCTGTGGGGAGCAGAAATGTGTCTTCAGTTATCATTTTTGCTTCTGACAGTTCAAAATGAGTCAAACTGTATTTCCATAGAATCTTTCCAGATAGCATCAGAGAGAAAAACAGAAAAGTTCCCAAAAGCAGGTTTAAAAGGTTTTTAGCTGCTTTGAGAAGGAACCCAATGAGATGTCAGACTCAGGGGGAGACAGCGCCACAGTTTGGCCACTGATGGAAAAGCTCCGACTCCTTTAGATCTTGTTTGCTGCACAGCCAGCAGATGGCCTCGGGGACCTGCTGGGGCTGCATGGATGTACCCTGGTGCTCATCCATCCAATTCAATTCAATTCAATTTTATTTATATAGCGCCAAATCACAACATAAGTCGCCTCAAGGTGCTTCATAGATACAGAGAAAAATCCAACAATCATATGACCCCCTATGAGCAAGCACTTTGGCAACAGTGGGAAGGAAAAACTCCCTTTTAACAGGAAGAAACCTCCGGCAGAGCCAGGCTCAGGGAGGGGCGGGGCCATCTGCTGCGACCGGTTGGGGTGAGAGAAGGAAGACAGGATAAAAGACATGCTGTGGAAGAGAGACAGAGGTTAATAACAGATATGATTCAGTGCAGAGAGGTCTGTTAACACATAGTGAGTGAAAAAGGTGACTGGAAAGGAAAAACTCAATGCATCATGGGAATTCCCGGCAGCCTATGTCTATTGCAGCATAACTAAGGGAGGATTCAGGGTCACCTGGTCCAGCCCTAACTATATGCTTTAGCAAAAAGGAAAGTTTTAAGCCTAATCTTGAAAGTAGAGATAGTGTCTGTCTCCTGAATCCAAACTGGAAGCTGGTTCCACAGAAGAGGGGCCTGAAAACTGAAGGCTCTGCCTCCCATTCTACTTTTAAATACTCTAGGAACAACAAGTAGGCCTGCAGAGCGAGAGCGAAGTGCTCTAATAGGGTGATATGGTACTACAAGGTCATTAAGATAAGATGGGGCCTGATTATTTAAGACCTTGTATGTGAGGAGCAGGATTTTGAATTCAATTCTGGATTTAACATGAAGCCAATGAAGGGAAGCCAAAACAGGAGAAATATGCTCTCTTTCTAGTCCCTGTCAGGACTCTTGCTGCAGCATTTTGGATTAGCTGAAGGCTTTTCAGGGAGTTTTTAGGACTTCCTGATAATAATGAATTACAGTCGTCCAGCCTGGAAGTAATAAATGCATGAACTAGTTTTTCAGCGTCACTCTGAGACAGGATATTTCTAACTTTAGAGATGTTGCACAAATGGAAGAACGCAGTCTTACATATTTGTTTAATATGTGAGTTGAAGGACATGTCCTGGTCAAAAATGACTCCAAGGTTCCTCACAGCGTTACTGGAGGCCAAGGTAATGCCATCCAGAGTAAGAATCTGGTTAGATACCATATTTCTAAGCTTTTCAGGGCCGAGTACAATAATCTCAGTTTGATCTGAATTAAGAAGCAGAAAGTTAGCGACCATCCAGGTCTTTATGTCTTTAAGACATTCCTGCAGTTTAACTCATTGGTGTGTGTTATCTGGCTTCATGGACAGATAGAGCTGGGTGTCATCTGCATAGCAATGTAAATGTATGCTATGTCTTCTAATGATACTGCCTAAGGGAAGCATGTATAATGTAAACAGAAGTAGTACCGTGGTCTATGAAGGGGACGAGGAGTGTAACGGTCCTAATGCTCCTGCGTTGGTCCCAACATAGCCTGTTAGTCTTTAATGCAACGAGCAGACGCGCACACACAGCGATTGTGTTAAAGCTGCAAACGACACAAATCTAAATAGCCAGTCCTCTTCACCAGCCTCAAACATCACTCAGCCAGGGGAAGCTGGTTATACTAGACACCTGCTCAGCCAGGTAAAGGCCCGTGATTGGCCCAAAACACAGATCCCAGAGAATCCCGGGCCCAGAGCGAGACCCGTGTAAAGTTAGCAGATTTTTCAATAACAAAATTCACTTCCTGTATCATGTAGGTGGGAATGCACCCATAAGCATTTTGGTGCAGTCCATTGTTGTACTCGCGGCTGTCAGAAACTTGCGATTCTTTTAATTGAACAAATTGGTAAGCAGTTATGGGAGTTACAGTTCCCGTACCATAATTCCTTTATGTAGCACTTAGAACACATAGCTGGCCCAAGTGCTGTACAGCAGAAGAACAAAAAGTACAATAAATAACTAACAATAGAATAACAGTGTCAGTTACCCACTGAGTCAAAGGCCAGTGTATAAAAATGAGTTTTTAAAAACCACGTCTGAAGTCGAACGCCTACTAGAGGAAGAGCTTCAGGGTCTCCTCTAAGTTTCAGCTGCTCAGCTGACCGGAGTGAACCGTATAAGGCAAATATACCATTTAAGGATTTAAAAACCAGTAAAAGGATTTAAAATAGATCCCAAATTCAAATGGAAGCCAGCGTAAGGAGGTCAGAACTGGAGTAATATGATTTTTAAAACCATTTGAAAACACCTGTCTGGTGCCAGCGACAGGTCCTGGTTTACAGGGTTAAACTCGTCCATTTGGGCCAGTAACTGGTCTCTGTGGGCTCTCCACCATCATCCATAAAAATAATAAACAGAATTGTTGACAAAGGGAATAAACGAAGACAAAGAACCAGTCTGACTTTCTGCAGGCAAAGACGAGGCTCTGACTGTAGTTATACACTCAGAGAACAGATAGCTCCATACAAAGGGACGATACTCGATACCTTTGAAGGGACAGAGGGGGCGACGTGTTTGTTTTTTTATTTCCGTGCACTCTTCTCGATCCTGACTGAGCGCCTCTGGGTGTAGATTATGTAAGTATCTGCATTGTTGATTGGTTGATAAGTGGGCTGGAATAGAGAAGGGAGCGATAGCAGAGTTCACCGGGAACAGGAGTCAATACTCAATTTCAACTTTTTGTATGTAAGATCAACAACAACATGAGCAAGAGTGGCTCTCAGATGGTTGAACCACAGACTCTGTACACTGCCTCCCTCTGGCAGCAGAGCTCTCTGCAGGCAGATGGGTAGTCTGCAGCCTATAGGCAGCAAACACTGCTCAACCATAAATCTGCTTCCCCCCAGAGTTGCCTGATCATTTGCCAGAATTTCTTTAAGACTGAACAAAAGTCTTGCTCAAGGCTTCCCCTAACTCTCACAGCAGAGGTTTGGTTCATTCAACCATGACCAGAGATGCGTTCTGCCCATTGTTACCGCTCTGCAGCCTCCAGAGTCCACAAGTAAACCAAGCTCCATAGGCCTCTTCTTAGGCCTGTCTGCTTCAGGGATCACCACCACAACACCCACCGACCACTCCACAGGCACAACTCTGGATCGTGATCCATTCAGATCCTCGCCTGCAGTTCTGTAGAAAGTCTTCTGCCTGTGACAGACTCTCACAGGTCACTCTCACTATACTTTTGGGTACGCAGCTCCTGAAGACAACATCCAACATTTTTCCCAAAAGGCTGATTCTGTTCATCTGGACGTTTTCAGTGGGAGAAACGTTTCACGATCGTCTAAGTGACTCCTTCAGTCTCAGCTGACTGCAGGTTTCAACCTTATAAAGAGCACATTTGCACAATGACTGAATCCAGCCCACTGAATGAACAATGGGCTGTGAGGTCGGTTCCTTGAGTGATGAAACGTTTCTCCCACCGAAAACGTCCAGATGAACAGAATCAGCCTTTTGGGATTTACTTACCTGGATGACTGAGCATCAAGACATCCAACATTTTTATTGGAGATTATGTATCGGGATTTCAGGAGCAGGACCACGCCTCCAAACGCTCCTTCCGGCTGTCATCTACAGAGGTTCCCCCAGTTCTGCAAGCCGATCATTCTCGTTTACGTGCCTCACCCTCCCTCTCTCTTTCTTCTCCTTTCTTCAACTTCTTCACTTCTATTTAGTGCATTGGGATCTGCCAGGCCCGGGAGCCATCGCCAGTCTCCTTCGAGGCCTTCCCCAAACCGCAGCTCAATTCATGCCAAAGCATCACTTTTACCTACTAAAATGCTGTCAAACCTAAAATGAGGACGTGGGCTCAGTTAGTGAAATGTTATTTCCATGTTAAAGACATGTGGAGACGACACAGTAGCCTGAGTTGGGTTTAGCAGCAGCTGTTCAATGCAGTGTGCCTGGTTAAGAGTCTCTCGTGAGCTCCTATCAGTCACGTCTCCAGCTCCAGGTTGGCTGGCTCATTAGTCACACTGTTTCTTTATGTAGTGAAACCTGAACTGCTTTGTTGCATCAAAGTGTGTTTTTCCCTCCAGGTGAGTCTGGATGCTCGGGTTCGAGAGGTGATCAACAGGAAGATGCAGGATCCGACGCCACACACCTTTGAAGACGCCCAGCTGCAGATCTACACGCTGATGCACAGGGACTCCTACCCACGATTCCTTGCCTCCAACATCTACAAGGCGCTGGTTCATGGCGGCTCCCGTACGCCCTCCGAGTCCTACTCCTAAACATCTTCATCCAACCTGCGCTCTGCCTCCATCCAAATCTTTCAAGCAGTCATCACTCCATCCTCAGCTCTTCCCACGTACTCATCTTCATTGTCTCTCCACTTCATGTTTTCTTCCTTTTAGTCACACTCCTGCTCACTTCTTTCTTCTTTTGTAGTCACCTTCTCTTAATATGGAGATAATCATTTTGAAAACAAGAAAAAAAACCCTGGAAACAGATTTACAATGTTTATAAAAATATATATATTTTTCTCGAATTTGAAATCTTAATCAGGCCTTTGACGTCAGTTAGACCTTGTTATGTGCAGGGTTAGTGCAGTGCAGTGATTAAAAACTAGCAGTTAAATATTAAGACAAACTCCTGGCCAACAGTTTCAGCTCAAACAGATGAATTTTAATAGCAGTGAACTTATTGATTTTAGGTGATTTATGAGTTTTACGTCACTGAAATCAGACTAAGCTGATCCCTGATCCATCCCTGCCTTCCTCCTCCTCACGGTTCACCTCTGCTTTGGTTCATGTTTCCCACCTGC